CCTTGCTTAATTAGCTTATCTAGTTCTGAATCCAATTTAGGGCGAATGGCAAAAGGGACTCTGCGAGGCTTTAAACCAGGGGTGTCCAACCTTTCACCTTCCCTGGGCCACATTAGAAGATGAAAATTTGGTTTGGGCCGCACATATAATAAATTATTATAAAATAATTATATTATAAAATTATATAATAAATTATAAATTATTTTTATTATTTATTATTAATTATTTATTAAAAATTATTTATTTTTATTAATTTTCCGGCCAAATTTTGCGGGGTGGGGGGGCGGCGGCGGGGGCAGAAGCGGCGGTGGCAGCGGGGGCAGAAGCAGCAAAGGCGGCGCCCGCCTTTTCTGTTGCTGCTTGGCGTGGCGCTCGCCTCGCCCCGCCTCGCGCCTGCCTCTCCTCCTCCTCCTCGCTGGCTCTTGCCAGAAGGTTGGGGTGGGCACTGGGCCGCATTACGAGGTGACCTGGGCCGCATGTGGCCCGCGGGCCGCAGGTTGGACAAGCCTGCTTTAAACGAATGGGGGTGGCTTGTGGGCCTACATCAAATGAGATAGGGGTACCGGAGTAACATCCCAGCTCATCACTAAAAACATCAGCGTAGTCCCTAAATAGGGTGTCTACTTCAGTATTCACAACAGAGTGAATCCCAGTTACACTAAGGCCCAGAGCAGGGAACCAATCTAGCCCAAGCAAGCTGGGAAGGGCACCATCTACAACCACCAGAGGCAAGTGGCCTCTAAAGTTCTGGAATTGAATTAGGAACTTGCCTTTCCCCGGGACTGGAATGGTCTTCCCCTGATAGTCTCGAAGAGTCAGGTGGCAGTTGAGCAGCTTCTTCTTGGACAGTGTAGGGAGCAGCTTCTTCAGGGTGGCCCAAGAGATGATAGACAGGGCAGACCCGGTGTCCACCTCCATCCGGCAGGGTTTACCTTCTAAAAAGACAAAAATACTTATTTTGTTAGACCCAGGGGTGGTATTGTCTCAGTGGTAACAGGTGTAGCAATCTTCAACTTGCCTTTGGAAGAAGGAAGTGGCTTGAGGTCTTTGTGGGAAGGTTTTTTCAGCTTGGCAAACCCTAGCTATGTGGCCTTTTTTCTGGAAGTTCAGGCAGATGGCATTTCTGAGTCTGCATGTTGACCTGAGATGTGCCCCCCCACAGCTCAGACAATTGGGTTGCTGTCTGGTTGCTGGATTGGTATTTTTCCTTGGCATCTCTGGAGGGGGTCTTGGTTGTCTGAGACGGTTTACGTCAAGCGGTTCCTCCTCTAGGGAAACCTCATCAAAATGAATGGTAGAGCTCCCTTGCTTTATGGGGTTCCCCTGAATCTCAGCTGCTGACAGCTCAGACAGCTCAGCAGCCTGAGCTTCTTCTATGGCTAAGGTTAGGGTTAAGTCTTTTTTTTGCTAGTAAACGCCTCTGTAGCTTTAGGTCTCTAACCCCTCCTACAATTTGGTCAAGCAGCATGTCTTCCAGGTAATCTCTAAAACCACAGTGTATGGCAGCTGATCTTAAGGCTGCCATATACTGACTAACGGTTTCCCCCTCAGCCTGAACTCTCCTTCTAAAAGCCAGCCTTCTAGCTATTTGAGAGGGCTTGGGGGAGTAGTGGTTTGACAGGATTCCCTGCAACTCCTCCCAGGGAATAGCCTTTACAGAGCGCGGGGATACTAGTGCGGAGGCTGTATCAAAAACAGCAGCTCCACAGAAGCTCAGAAAATAGGATCTTTTCCTCAGGTCGGTGGCTTCTGTCAGGTCAATCGCGTTTAGGAAACACTCGAACAGGTTCATATACGACTCCCACGTCTCGCCCGTCGGCTGGAATGGAGGGAATGTCAGGTTTGAACCCATCGTGAAGCGGCAGCATCGGTCTCCTCAGCTGAGGGAGCTTTAAATTCGCGCTTTTAGAAAAGCGCTTGTGGCTGCGCCTGTCAGGCGGCGTCTGACTCCTCAGCTTGGGAGTTTTGAACTTCGCGCTCATGGAGAGCGTCAGCGGCGGTGACGTTATTCAGCTCTCAGCAGCTTCGGCTCTTTTTGACAGTGACTGTGCTCAGCTGTCTTCGCCTGGTTGTCTCTTATCGTATCCCGCCCGCGTCGCCAGTGTTGTAGAGCGGCGGTAGAGACTGAGACGGACACAGGCTTGACTTAAACAGGCTTTATTCATTCGAATAAAGGGTTGCCGCGGCTGCCGGGGCTAACTGGCAGTCAGCTGGCGGCAACAGCTGATGCCGTTTGACAGCTCCTTTTATAGCTGGCTGTCAAACGGCATCAGCCAATGGGAGCGGTCGGCGTTCCCACTCAGGCGGCGGACCGGAGTGAGGACCGCCGTCAGTCTTTGAACACAGCACTTTGTCTCCTCCATATTTTGTGTCAGGCAACATGTGGCAATACAAATGCCTGTGCGGGTTCTCTTGGGGTCATGTGGTTGTTGGCAGTCATGAAGAATTATCATCAGAATTAGTATTGTCCAATGCAGAGTAGAAAACACTCTGGCTTGGCTTCATTTCACAAATATGGATGGGGAGGGTAGCAAGAGCTGAAGAAGGAAGTAGCAACTTTGAACCCCAGTTCAACTTTGATACCCTGCCCCAATGTGTGCATGACATCTGATTAGACAATCCTGGGTGTAGCCCTTATCTAGGCATTAAGACCCAGAAATATCCTGACCTCTCCATCTGGGTTATGATCCCTGTCATCTAGTTACCAACCTTTTCTTCACCATAAATATCTTTAGTGGCCCCGACTATGGCCACAGACCACCAAGACTTAACTCAAGATTTAAACATAGCATTTTTTTTTCAAGACTCTCTAAGGGACAGAGTGATCTACTCTCCTTCCTCTGGAGATAGCATCCCTGCAAGCAAGAGCATTTCACATTTAATCAAAATTAGAAAATTATCAGTTCCTAGGATTCTTTCTGCAGAGAGCATCATAATACAAGATCAGTGTTGGTGCTGGAGGAATCTTGCTGAAAAAAAGAAAATGCAGATTTTTTTTTGTCATCAGCCACTCCCAAATTAAAGCAGCAAAAAAAAAAAAAAAAAAAAAAAAACTTGTGCCTTTTCAAATTTCTTCCATGGCTGCAGATTATCCAGATGTATCATTCCATTGATTTAATACACTCCAACAGTGAGCAGAAAGTACAAGGAAATAGGACAATTGTTTTAGGAAGAATACTTCAGTGCTGTACCCAAGGAAATGTGCATAATTGTAAAATTATACAAATATAAAAATTTCACTTTAATACGTTTATTTTGAAAAGTATAAGCAGCTTCAGGAATGAAAGTGTGAACAAGTGTTTGAAATAGGGCTTTTGGGAAATCATTTAGAACAGGGGTCTCCAACCTTTTGGACCTCTGGGACCACCAAACTCATAATTTTAAATCCCAGGGACCACTAACCGGTTATGTGGGCGTGGACTAATTTATGGGTTTGGCTTGGTGGTCATGTGACTGGCTGGGCATGGCTTGTATGTAAATATTATAAATATTTATATAAATATTGAATGTTTTATATAAAAAAGAGCAACTTTTACCCAAAATCAGACAAAGCAGGCAGGCAAATTGAGTTGCTCACAGAATCAGATTCATACAGAGATCTATCTATCTGCCACTGGCTAGCTCAGTCTGTCACACAAAATTTGCTTGCAAGCAAACTCATAAAATTTGCTTGCAAGCAAACTCACAAAATTAACTCACAACACACCATGCATGTAAATATTTTTTTTAAAAAGAGCAACTTTTATCCAAAATCAGGCAAAGCAGGCAGATTGAGTTGCTCACCAGAATCATTGAGTGATCGATCTATCAGCCATCAGCTAGCTCAGTCTCAAATTTGCTTGAGGTGAGTCTGCACTGAATTTACTTGCAAGCAAACCTTCAGTCCTAAGGGAGGTTTGGCTCTGCTTAGCTAGAAAGCAAGAAATCCAACCATTTCCTGCTTCCTAGCTAATCTAAATCTCCCAGCACAGCAGAACAGATGATGGTTGGAAAAAAGAAAAATAGCAACTTAACAGACAAGTTTGCCAGGTTGAGTGGGCGGGAGGGTTCCCACTGGCCATGTGGGCTGAGTAGCCTTGTTTCTGCACAGCCTGGATTAATTGCTTTGGGGTTGTGCTCTGGGGGTGAGATTTCTCTGTGGCCCACCAAAATTTTCTTGCAGCCCACCAGTTGGTGACCGCTGATGTAGAATACACTATCAATCTAGTCATTCCCTCTTACCAATATATGAGCTTTCTTTCTGTTTTCTGAGTCACTCATACCCTTGAGTGCAACAGCCCAGAAGCTTTGATAAGAAAAGCATTAAACATCCTTCAACATATCCTGATGGGATCACCCTATGACCAGCATGATGGAGGACCTGAGATGAATTCAGATTGGTGAAGTTCTGCTGGCTTTCAGGAAAAGAAAGGCTGAGCTGTGAAGGATGCAAGATCTGAGTGGGGTGGATTTGGTTTGAGCAAGACAAAAATTGCAATGCACATCGGTATTGATTCGATTTACTGAATGGGTCAGGGAAGTGAGATAGTTGAAAGAAACTAGAACTGGTATGAATGTTTGACATTGTTTCACATTACAGACGATGGTTAGTTCTTTGGGAAGAAGAGGATGCCTGAAATCCAGCTCCTTGGAGTAAGGGACAGGAGACCGATCTTCTCAAATTCAACATGTATCTTCTGCTGCTTTGTTCAGGACCAGCAAGATGTAACTGCAAAACACTAATGTTTTTGTGTGTTTCTTTTCTTTTTTTAAACAATTTTATTTTCCAAGTACCTTCCAATAAAATCTTGGAACAAAAAGCTTGGAACAAAAATAATGCAAACATAAGCAGATTCATGTATAGTTTCCCTTAAGACATAAACATATTACCTGAGCAATCATTTTTCTGGTAGTAAGTATATTTGTTTACATTTTTCAAACCAAAATTCACCCCTTTATACTCAGCATATACATTTTAGGTCTCATAAGACACAGCCCTATATGTCCTAAAAAGTCTTTCATTTCAGCCCCAAATATCATAGCTTTAAAAAAGTCAAACATGCATTTGTTCCTTATATTTAACAGTAACATATTTAAATATGGCAGCCTTTGTGTGCAACATCTGATTTCTTTACCAGTCCACCAGCCTCACTTGTACCTCTGCACCAGCAAACTAATCTTTTCCATGACTTTTGTGTAACAGGATCCAGCCCTGTGAAAATCTTGTTGAATTCCAGAATCTCATCTCTTTGAGTAAGAAGGTCACCAATTCAAGATTTTGTGAGACCTAATTCATTTTTGCACATCTCTCCATACAAGTGATCAAAAACATTTGGATGGAGTTTTTATTTTTTGTTAAATTTTAGCATTTCTGTATAATTACCAAATCTGAGTTGCCAATATCTGGATTATCATTGGATGCAAGATGTCCTCTAATGACCATCCTGATTTTTGCAGCTCAAATATGACAGCCTCACTTCTTATCTACCACAGGACAAAGTCCCAGATTCACCCTTTCAAGAAATTCCACTATATACGCAAATATTTTCAAGGCTACGATGACATTTAAAGAAAATAAAAATGAGAGAGAGTTACAGAATGTGTATTACAGAACTAAAAATCCTACTGACTAAAGGGCAGATAATGTGTAATCCTTCAGATGCTATGCAGTTATAATATATATATTATTGCCTATATTGTTAAATTTGGCTGGAGTTCTTGGGAGTTGTAGTTCCATAACAGCTAGTTGGGTGTAATTCCTTTACCTTATCCTATAAAATGGCTGAGGTTTCAACTTTAAAAAATTAAAAAATAAGACTAGAGTGAAAGCTAGAAAGAAATCTAACAAAAGAGAGAGTCAGAACAGTAGTTCTCAGCTTCAACAACTTTAAGATGGCTGGACTTCAACTCCCAGAATTCCCCAGCCAGTATGTGAGTTGAAGTCCACACGTCTTAAAATTGTTGAGACTGGGTTAGAAGTTAAGATCTGGAATTTCCTCTTCTCAGAATCCCCTGAAGTAGAATAGCCTAGGGGGCAATATCTTTAGGATTTCTAAATTGCCTTGTCACAAAGCAGACCAAAAGTAGGGATTTCCAAGTTCAATCTTGGATTATTTCCTTCAATCCCCACCTAAGTCATGACATATATCAAAACTAGACTCGCGCCGAGTCTTATTTGTTCCCTTAGCCTCACTGGCCTATGGTAGTGTTCCTTGCTGTGGGCATACAGCAACATCATTTTGCCCTCTCATTCCTGTTGCTTGGGATTCTGTGGAGCACCCTGTTTATCTTTTGGGGAGCCCCATTTCCTCTGGATCCCCAACACTGTTCCCAGCAGGAAGAAAAACACAGCTCCCACATGGATGCAGTAATAGATCGAGCTCCAATAGCGAACAGTATCCTCAAAGGTGAGCAACACAAAACCCATACACATGTAGTCATAGGCCCTCATCTTCATGAACCACTGTATCCAGTCACCCCAAAGACGCCCAGACGGGGAGAGGTGCTTCAAGAATCCACTCTCCATGGCCCCCTCAGCTAGTAGGCAGAGCGGGATGGTAAGGAAGCTGATGTAGTACCCAGGGTGGATCCCATGCCAGTAGGCCGAGATAAGCATTGTCCAGGCATTCCTAAAAAGAAAAGAGTCTGATCAGTCCTACATTCATCCCTTTAAACCCACCTATCCCAAAATTCCTCATATCCTCTTGATCATTCCCAACTCATGGCCCTTGTTAAATTTAGCTCAGTCTGTCACAACCTTCAGAAGTTCAAGATCCCAGTCGAACTATGCTGGCTTGAGAACAGTGAGAGCTGAAACCTAGCATCTCTAGAGAAGGGTCCCCAATGCCTGGCCGTGGCCTATCTGCAATCAGGCCGCACGAGTAGTGGGTTGGCTTGCATGTGCAGCTGAACTTGTGCAAGTGGAGCTAAACATGCATGTGTATGTGTGCTGGCCCACTGCTTGTGCAAGTTGACCCGTGCCTGCGTGCGGCCCAGTTCCTTTCTCCGCCCCCCCCCTCCACCAGGCTGCCAAGCCGCAAAGGTTGAGGTGGCACTGCTCTAGAGCATACAAATATGGGAAACAATTATGCAGCTTTTTATTTATTGTCTAGACTGCCCATCTCACCTGGTGACTCAAATCAGTCTCATAATCTTGTATGGCAGGGCTGTCAAACTCCGACCCATGGGCTGGATGCGTCATGTGCTGGCCACGCCCATATCCAGTTTAGCGAAGGGGGAAAAAGTCCCAATACGTCACGTGACACCGCCGTGATGATGTGAGATTGACAGCCCTGCTGCAGGGTTTACTTCAAGAGGTTAGATTTTCATAAATTATTTAAATTTTCCGACTTCCTCTTTTTTGGATGGCAGGTCCTAATTCATCTCATCCCAAATTTGCCTAGTGTTCACCCTGAACCTTCAAAAGAAGCACTTCCTGTCCCAGAATCCTTGTCCTGCAAGATTTCTTCTCATGCCAACCCAACTGACCTGATGCCTCCCAGTTCACTTGCCTATCACTTCATCCTCAAAGACTATTCCTTGCCCTGAATGACACTTTATTTGAACCCAGTGTTGCTTGCCACACCTCATGATGTAGGAATGGAAAGGTGCACTTTTGTAGATGTATTGTGCTAACCACCACTGGACAGTCATGTTCCAATAGCGCATGCCATCCTTTACTTTGACACAAAAATCTGTCCCGTGTGGATCAATGTTTTTGATTGTCTCATAATCATATGCAATACTGGATGCTTCCCCGTCAGCTGATCTGCTTGTAAGAGAAGAGAAAAATTAATTCCTTCATGCATTTTTAATGTCCAGAACTGTTCTAAAAATGTATGAGGCTGACCTTAAAAATGTCAAATAGTTTGTTAACAGAAGGAGTCTGGTAGTATCTTTTCAAATGAACTAATTCTGATTGGGACTATCATACATTAATGCAGCTCTCCTCCTACTGTGTTAAATCATGAGAAAACTTACCATTTGTTTTGAACACCTTGTGGTTTGGAAGGCAAAATGATATACACACACACACTAAACAAAAATCTGCAAGTTTATACTCAGCTATTTGGAATCAGAGCTTTTAGGGACCTTGGAGATCTGCAGTCCAACTCCCTGACCAAGGCAGCTGTCTCCATTTTTCATGGGGCATTCATAAGCGCGAACAAGTTGCCTGCCATGTGCCTGTAATGCAACTGTGGGGGTTGGTAGGTGAGTGGATGCAACCTCAACATTTTGCAACAGACAGAAGTGTTTTACAGGCTGTGAAAATATCAAATGGTTGTTTAGCAACTGGTCATAAGTCAAAGATTACCGTAGTGTCATGGAAAGGTTAGCTCTGTTAAATTATGTTGTACTCTGTATTACTAATGAATCTTTTGTTTGCGATCTTCAGACTTCTTAAAAATAGTAAATGAAAGTAGTTGTCTATACAGGTAGTCCTTGACTTACAATTGAGCCCAAAATTTCTGTTGTAAGGGAGACATTTGTTAAATGAGTTTTGCCCCATTTTACTAACTTGATTGCTACAGTTGTTAAGTGAATCATTTTGGTTGGTAAGTTAGTAACCTGGTTGTTAAATGAATCTGGCTTCCCCTTTGACTTTGCTTTTATTCAAAAGGTGATCACATGACCTTGAGACATAGCAATGATCGTAAGTATGAACCCGTTGCCAAAATCTGACTTTTGATCACATGATCATGGAGATATTACAAAGGTTGTAACTGTGAAAAATTGTCATAAATTTTTTCAGTGCTGTTGTAACTTTGAATGGTCACTAAATGAACTGTTGTAAATTGAGGACTACCTGTATGCATTTAGCAGAAGGACTTAGCTTTTACTTTTTGTATGGTCCAAAAGTAAATTTGCTAACCTAAAGCAAATGATGCTAGTCCTGTGCAACATTGGATGTACTTTCTGTAAGCAGTTTTCAGCAAAAGTCACATGGAAATAACCAATGCTATTTCATTTCATTTCTCTCTCTCTCAAAGACTTCAGATAGTGGCTGTACTTTAGTTTTAGAACAGGCAGTATTACCGGGCAACCTCAGGGCCTGGAACTAAACCAACACTGAACTACAGGGGCCTCAGCTAAGTTTCATGCAAGAATTAGAGCTGGGTTTTAAGTCAATTACAATCATATGAACCAGAAAGAGTTCAGCATCCTGAGAGACTTTGGAAATCCCATTTCCATGCTAGAATTAGCACACTTCTTATTTGAGAAGAAACTTCTCATGACTCCAAAACTGGGTCTGTAGAACTCAGACACACGAAGGCACAATTTGTACACGTCAATGAAAAATAAAGAAAAGGTGGACATAAGGCCTCTTCAAAGGTCAGTGCATCTATTTCCTTTAAACTGTCCCAACCTCACAAAAAAGGTGGAATATTTTAGCTCTACTATATCTAATGAATTAGTGGTGCTTTTTATGGTGAGAGGTAGCCCACCATATAAAGCCTGTGGTCACAGTTCACTGTTATTAGTGCTGTGTGGAAAGCAGAAGTATTATTTTAGAGAAGACAGGGCCAAGAAGAGGTTCTTGACTTACGGACTTAAGGGCTCATATTGCACTGTAGGTCCTCCACCTGACCGAGATTTGGCAGTGACTGGATAGGCACCAAAAGCAGCAGCAATGCAGGCACACTCGGCGCAAAGCCAGGCAACGTAGAAACGCATACGGAAGACAAAGAAGACGGGCACCATGTAGAAGAGGCGAAAAGGGAGTCCTCTCTCGTAGAAGGCGTTGCTTCGGACGTAATCAAGGGGGAAGAAATGGGAGACAACCAGGAAAAATATTCCAAAGATGGGGACCATTCTGAATCTGTAAAGCATCGGCTGCCAGCTAGGGATAACAGAAGAATCAATCTGGCTCAACCAGTCATGATACGTACGATAGCGATAAAATGGGCCTGGGTACAAAAACAGAAAACAATGAAATTTTAATATCAATTTTAAGGGAGAAGTATTTTGCCTGAGGAAAAATAAAACTAGTCCAGAGAGAATGTGACACACACACACACAGTTAAATTACAGCTGCCAAAAAAGCCAACACAGTTCTAGGCTGCATAAACAGAGGGATAAAATCAAGATCACGTGAAGTTTTAATACCACTTTATAATGCCGGGGTAAGGCCACACTTGAAATACTGCATCCAGTTTTGATCGCCACGATGTAAAAATGGTGTTGAGACTCTAGAAAGAGTGCAGAGAAGAGCCTCAGATGATTAGGGATCTGGAGGCTAAAACATATGGACAACAGTTGCTGGAACTGGGTATGTCTAGTCCGATGAAAAGAAGGACGAGGGGTGACATGATAGCAGTGTTCCTATATCTCAGGGGCTGCCACAAAGAAGAGTGGGGGGCAGGAGGGTCAAGCTATTCTCCATAGCACCTGGGGGCAGGACAAGAAGCAATGGGTGGATACTAATCAAGGAGAGAAACAATCCAGAACTAAGGAGACATTTCCTGACAGCTAGAACAATTAATCAGTGGAACAACTTACCTCCAGAAGTTGTGAATGCTCCAACACTGGAAGTTTTTAAGAGGAGATTGGATAACCATTTGTCTGAAATGGTGTAGGGTTTCCTGCCTAAGCAGGGAGTTGGACTAGAAGACCTCCAAGGTCCCTTCTGTTATTCTATTTCTACTTAAGACACTGTTTCCATAACCTGCTTTCCTCTAGTTGTGTTCACATTATTTTCCTTAATCCAAAGCCAATATAAGTAGTCCTCCACTTATGATCCCCTATGATGGGACCAGGATTTCCGTTGCTAAGCAAGGCAGTTCTTAAGTGAGTCATGTCCAAATTCATGTTCATTTTTTTTCTGCGACTCACTGAACTTATTAAGTGAAACACAAGGTTGTTAAGTAACTCTAGCTTCCCCCATTGGCTTTGCTTGTGGAATCGAAGCCAGTTGAAAAGGTCAGAAACAGGAATCGCATGACCCTGGGGTGCTGTAACTATTGCACACACATGCCCATTGCCAAGCACCTGAATAAAGGGACTGTGGGAACACTGCCATGATCGTAAGTGCGAAGACCAGTCATAATTTTTTTTAAGTGCCGTTATAATTTTGAACCATCACTAAATAAAACAGTTGTAGCTCGAGAACTACCTGCTATTTAGTGGAGTGTTGTGAGATACGGTATCCAATATGATCTGAGTCCTTCTGTTTTGGATAGGCTTGATAGGTTAAGGTTGTGTGTAATTTGGGAAGTACACAGGGATTTTTTTTCAGATTTTAAACACTTTATTTTAATAAAAGTTACATACAAAACTGAGATCAACACAGTAATAAAAATTACTTTGCCTTTTTGTTGATGGGAAGAATCTATAGGTGGATTATAATCTACTAGTTATGGATTTAAATGCAGATAAACTGGCAGACTTTCACTAATGAGTGTATCAAAAAGTATTGATGTTGCCTGATTTTAATTCAGAAAACAAATTACAAAAGGGAACTACAATGAAACAGACATAAGCAATGGAGGTCAGATTAATCAGCAAGAATTACTTCTAAATTATTTAATAAGAGTAATAACTAAATTCACATTTGCAAGATTAAAAGATGTCATTACTACCCTAAGCATTTGCTAGTTGTACAATTTTATGATTTCCTGCAAGCTCTGGCAACAAAAACATAATGTCTGGTATCTTACTTTTTGCTGTAATTTCCTGCCTTCATGTTTGCAGCAGCAACATATGGCCATTTTTCATGCAATTCTCACAAAACAAAAAAGGAGAAGCTATACAAGTGAAGTGTGTAGGCTAGTGGGAAGAATAGCTATTTTTGTCTGATCAGCAAGGTAGTTTCAAACATACTTCTGCAAAAAATAGGAGAGGCCACACTTACACCCAATGACCATGCACAATACCAAGAGCAATAGGTGGCTGATGTGAGAAGTAGATGAGAAGGCAAAAAGTGGAATGGGCTTTATAATTTTCAACTTGCTCCGATCTCTTAACTACCTTTTCCTTTAAAAAGAAATTGTAACAATAAAGAGTAGCTCTTCAGCCCAATACTTTTTCTTATTGATGTTTATATATGTGGTGAGAAGACGCCAACATTTTAAAATGCCCATAAACCCACTGCTCATAAGGCTACCAAAGGGAAGATGCATCACATGCGTTTATACCTGTAGACCCATTTCATTTCCTATTAGCCAGTTCACCTTACCTGTCATAAGCCCCACGTAGCAGTAACTGTAGCACAGTATCTCCACCAACCCCGGTTTTTGGAGAACTTTACCAATCATTGGAGATTTGGTGAAAGTTGTGACTTCCTGTTTCTTCGCCTGAATGAGTTCTTGTACCTCAATGGCTAAGCTCAGCAGCTGGGAGACAAAAATTCCAGAAAAAGAAACCTTACTTCCTCTTCACGCTAATCACCCTTCCTTCTCAATATCCCAAAAATAGCCCAATACCTTAAGAGTGAGCAGAAGTTGCACAGCATTGGTGAATGGTGTTGGCTCTGGATAGTTGAAGTAAGTAACCGTGCGGAAAAATAATAAATAGGAAAATGTCCATCCCAGCGTCAGGTGATGACAAGTCCTGTTTTTTAGGAGGAGGAGGAGGAGGAGGAGGTTAAAATTATTAATCCCTTTTCTACATCAGTTTCAAAAACACACATACATATCCTTGAACTGACTAACTGACATACACTAACTACTCTTCTAACCCACTGTTTCTCAACCTTGGCAACTTTTAAAATGTATGGGTTGCAACTCCCAGAATTCCCTAGCCAACCTGCTGATATCATGTGGCGAGTGGAAACTACACGATTTGTTTCAGCCAAGTTAATGTGAACAACACTGGGAACTGAATACAAGATCCTGCCCACTTGAGAGTATAGATAACCTTTAGAAACCAGAAATCCTAACATGAAAATTGTGTTCAAACATTAGAGGTATGCTTTGTTTGGTTTTGGTTTATCATAGTCTGCGAAAATAGGGATCATGGCTTACAGTTTTATGTAAACCAAAAAGGTATAACCTACCACAATTAAGAAAATAATTGCTTAGCAGAATGTGTGAATTAGTCAAAACCTAACGAGTTGCATTTATCAAGTTAAGAAGACCCAAGCACCATTTATTGCTCATGAAGGCATCATTAAAAACAAGTTAAGGGGAAGAACTGACTGACCAAAAAGGCATCAAAAAAGAAGACGGTGAAAATATACAGAACAGCTGTACGCAGGTAGCAAAGAGGCTCAGTCTCATGATGAGACAAGAGAAATAAAAATAGAAGCGGCCAGTCTTGAGGAAAGGATCACGTGGGCAGTGAACCAACTGCCAAACAATAAAACTCCAGGTGACACTATCCCTGCAGACTTACAGAGATCTGTACCATCCACTGTCATTAGAGACCTGTACCAGAAAATTTGGGAAACCAACACATGGATTGGAAACGCTTAGTAATCATTCCACTGCCAAAAAAGAATAATTCTAAAGATTGCTCCAATTATTGCACAATTGCTCTCATCCCTCACGTCAGCAAGATGCTGCTTAAAATTATACATCGTCTAGCGCCAACCATCAGAAGGGGATTACCAAATGTGCAAGACAGCTTTCGAAGGGGCCCTTCTGCAAATCTACACTAGATCATGGAAAAATCTCATGAACATCAAAATATCAAGTGCTTCATCAACTACAACGAACCCTTAAATTGTATTGTGATGAGAAACTATGGAGAGCCCTACAAGACCTGAAAACACCAGCAAATTTGGTTAAGTTGGTGCAATCGTTGTACACAAATCAGAAAGCCACTGTGTGAACACTATATGGAGACATCGATTGCTTTAAGATAATGGAGTACAACAAGTTTGCATTTCTTATTCAACCCATTTGCTGAAATGATCATGAGGAATCTGCTACCTGCTTACAGCTACTCTGTATATTCTCACCATCTCTTCTTGATACCTTTTTGGTCAGTTTTGGGACAGTTCTTTCACTTACTTGTTTTTAATGATGCCTGTATGAGCAATAAATGGATTTTTTAACTTGCATAAATGCAGTTCCTTAGGTTTTCACTAATTCACACATTCTACTAAACAATGTTTTGCTTAATTGCTTAATCATTATCATCTAAGGAGCTGAGAGTCTTGCTTGAAAGTCCTGAACCTACCTACCTAGCCCGGGGGTGGGGGGTGGAGAGGAGAGACAAAAACTTAGATTTTAGGAAATTTGGGAAATGTATAATCCCATCTTTGCACCCAGAGTATTTATTTGCATATGTAGACCATCTCACAGCCACAATTATTGTTAGTCACTTTACCTTGGTGAGATATTGATAATAAGCCATGTCCCCAGGATGGTGATAAGAGAATGAAGGATGTGGATCTGGCAAGTCACCAGAATAAGTGCAAGTCCTATAACAGCTGCCCCATATTTTTTGGTCTTCAAACCTATTAAAAAAAGAGAGGAACACGTTTTCCCATTGTCTAAAGATGCACACCCTGGGCTGTGAGTTTGCGTTTGACTTTATTTGCTTGGCTGGATGTACAACCTACCCAGTTCCATAGTTTTTAAGAAGCTACATCGAATAAAATTTACAAAATTGCCAATGGAGATTCTCAATCACCCATGGTTATCCCAAAGATGTTTTTTCCCAAAAGACAACTGGACTTTCTTCGTTTTTCTTTTTAAAATGTTTCGCTTCTCATCCAAGATTCTTCTTGGATCATGGCAAATACAGATAATCCTCAACGTATGACCGTAATGGAATCTGGCCATTATGGTCATAAGTCATGATGGTTGCAAAACAGGTCACCTATGTGACTGACCTATTTTTACAACCTTTTTTTTACAGCAATGGCTGTAAAACAAATCCACTGTTTGCTGTGGATTGTTTTTGCCAAAATCTGGAAATCTCGGTTTTCAGCAAAATCGTCATAAAATGCAGCCCTGTGTGGCCATGGAGTGCTGCAAAAGGCTTTAAATATGAGTCAGTTGCTGAGTGGCCAACAAACTGACCAAGGAAGGGAGCCCTGTGACTATCAGAATTTTGGAACTTGATCATAAGTACTCCTTGAGAGGTCCCTCATAACTTGGAACAGTTGCTAAGCCACCGGTCATAAATCAAGGATTACCTTAATATCCAGATCCCATGTATTGTTTGTTATTTCTCACCATTCCCATTCCCACTCCATCTCATATCCCATCTTCTCAGAGTTCCTTTGGAGATGCGTTTCTTACAACTTGCTTGCTCAAACCAGGAAGCTCTTCAAGGAGGAGTTAAAGGCAAAGCCATCTTACATGAACCTCAGGATAGTTTCCTAGGAGGTGCCTAGCAGCATTTCCTTCTCCAGGTTTCACACTTACCCACTTTCTTGAAGAGGAAACCAACAGGTATAGAGATGAGAAGGACCACCAAGTAGATAATTTCATCAGGTGACATTGTAGCTGGCAAGAAATGGGGAGTTAGGTCAATCTGCATGAAAGTGAAAAATATTGGAAAGATGGAACACAGGGCAGGGACCCCTTCTCTACACTTGATTTTTGAGAAAGAAGGGATGAAGGGGGGGAAAGGAAGTGATCTACTCGTTTTGGACTGCATACACATTACACATGATACAGAAAAATAAAACAGGTAGTCAGACCACCTGAGGATGAAAACTTGATGACAGGGAAAAGGGATTATTATTTTGATATAAGAGATTAATAACAGATTTAAAAATCAATACTGGCCCTAACAAGTTATTTTCAGCAAAATGTGTGGTTAACTTGGAGAACCAGTTGTGGTCTAGTGATTAAAACACCAGGCTAAATACCAAGAGGTTGTGAGTTCTAATTCCACCTTAGCCAAAAAAGCCAGTCGGGTAACTTTGGGCCAATCATCTTTCTCTCTTTCTCTCAGTCCACAACATCAGGCTTGGGCAACAAGCTGGTTGGTCAATTCCTGTTACAACCAAGTTGATCAACACAAGCAGATCTGGCACTTGTGAGAAAACGCTACTAAGTAAAAATGTGTGGTTCATTTAATTTGCACTGCAAGATATGGCAATTATTTATCTACGAGTCATAAAGGCCAACTAAGTATGCTAGGCAAGGTTACTAAAGCTTCATTCAAATTGAGGCCTCTTCTGAGACAATCCTCCCCTTCTCTCTGTAGCCTATAGCTCTCAGGCTATCTAAAATGTTAATCAGGACTCATTGTCTTTTTGGAACCAACCAAAGTGAACCAGTTGTTGCCATCTTTCTCTGTGAGACAGGCAAGACTGTCAATCTTGAGAAGAAAAATCAACAGCAAATATTGCAGTCCCAACTGAGAAAGACGAAGACAATCAAGACTCAAGTGCTGAGTGGTTGTCTCCTCTCATCTCTGATGGCTCAGACCAGCAATGGAATCTGGCAATGCTTCTTTTTAGCACTTCATCTCCATGCCTGCAAAAGTACAACATCTCCTCTTATATTCTTTGTCTGCTTGGAAACCATTTGGGATGGTTTTCAGCAGTGAATCAGCAGGGTAATAAATTATGTAATAAGGGAAGGGAAAAAGGCATGCTAGCAAGGGACATGTGTGCTTTTTGAATTATTATCTTGAATGCTAACTTTTGCCAAGACTGATCTTGTTGCATTAAATAGAAAAAAGACAACTTAAGGGTGTTAGGAAGAAACATTTTTATCTGTTTTAGACATCTTACTTCTTAGGATTGATGAAACATGTTTCAGGAATAAACTGCATAAAGGTGGAAAAAGAGAGATCAGCTAAAAAAAGGAATACATTGCAAGTAGTTTAAGATCACACTGTCAACAACAGATGTAGCAGCAGCAGAGGATAATGAATGCTAAAAGTGAGGAAGAATTCAAGAGAATAGACAAGAATGAGCAACATTCCCTGTTTTTGCAACCCTTAAAAATATGAATTTCCTGCACAACTGCATTCTGAACTTTTCTACAGAAACCTTCCTTTCTCAGTAGTGGAAATGAACACACCCTTTAGGGGAATTTTCAATATATTTTATTAAAAGTTTTACAAAGAACAGAAAAACCAAAACTAAAATTTAAAGAGTAAAAGTAGCAAAGAAAGAAGAAAAAAGCAAACACGAAAAAAGCAAGAAGAAAAAGAAAGCTTTTGATTACTTTCGCAGCAAATGTAAGTATGATTACAAAATAACCTTTTACTCTACTATTACAAAAAAAAAAAAAAATAAGCTCTTTCCTGTAATCGTGATTACACCCTCTTGCACAAGCCACTCCACCTCTCTGTCCAGCCTGCTTTCTCACAGCTATTCCTTACAAAAATCTGTCTTCCCAAATTTTTGCTTCTCTCCCCACAGGTCAGACTCCTCCTTAAAAGCGAGGTTGTCACTAAATGTACTTACTTGGGCAGATCAGAGCTCCAGAGAAACCAAGTTACTTCCCTTCCCTTCTTTTCTACCCTCTCCAACTAGTTAACAATTTGGATGAAGGAAAGTAGAAGGATCCAAAACCCTCTTGTGAGTCAAACAGATTTTATACACGCCCCTTTGTCCAGCTGGTTCTGAAGAACTCACTAATGTAAAATAAAATAAAATTTAAAAAAATCCAGCAAGGAAGAAGGTGGAAGTGCACTTGTACAGGCAGAACAAATTGTACAGAGGCTTTGTAATGATGAAAAAAAAAATGCACGTTATGGGCCCAGAGGTTAAATGAACATACACAGTTTGTGTAGCCAAGGATATGTGCCCAAAGGAGATATTGAAAACAAAATGAGAATTTCCTTTTCAGGTTAAATATCCACAGAATTTGGAGGAATGGTAGAAGAGTTTTTAAATAATAGGACAAGCAAAACTTCAGGGAAATTTTGTGCAACCATATAAATTTCCAAAGGCTTAAAGGTATAGTTTCTATGTCAAAAGGCAACACTGTAAAAATAAGTACAGTATAATTTAAGGCCTGTCAAATTCTTCCTTGCCTGCTTCCATTCCACTCAGAAGGTGCTCTGGGTCTCAGATTTACCACCTCAGAGATGTACAATGCATTTTTAAAAAATAAACAACTCAGTAACATTGGAGTAAAGGGCAAAACTTAAAAAATAATTTCCAAAACAAAATATTTGATAGCATGATAAAGATATTACTCATCCGTTAAGTGGTTGATTATTATTATCATTATTATTATAAATAACTCGAGGAGATAAACATGCCTAATAATGCTTCTACCTCTAATTTTCAATCACTTTGAGAAGTGGGCTGGGCTGAGAGAATGACTGGCTCAAAGTCACCCAGATAGCTTTAGTACCCAAAGTGGGACTTCGAACTCAGAATCTCCTGCTTTCTAAAAATCTAGAATCGAGATTTAAATAACCTAGAAATCTAGTTTGGTCCTGCCGTCCCTTAAGTAACCAAATTTGTATCTCGGGTTACATAAAAACGCTCAATGCAGCTATCTGGGGTCTATAAAAAATATGATTGGCTGTTCAACAGTTGTGCTAGCTACACTTTCAAGGCAAACATTTCTAGACTAGCTTCTCGCCTCTATCCGGCACCCTCTTTTTGCCCTGCATTACAACGTTGGTTGGGGGCGAAGGGCACGGTAACCCACCTCACCTGGAGGATGCTGGGAAGTTGGAAGAAGCCTTTTTAAATTAATCCGAGGTTGCAACCCTCGCCTAGAAGTTAGGGCGCCCAACCATCCTCGTCCCCATCCGCGTTGCTTTCCACTCCATCCCGATTTCCCTCTTCCTTAATCTCCACGTCCCACGCGCGCACTCACCTTTTGCAGGGGAACCCCCTCCACCACGCGCAAGCTGGCCTCAAGGGAGGGTGGAGTGGGGTCACTTTGCAGGACGGGCAAACGAGGAGGTGTGCGTGTGTGTGTGTCTCAGCTTCTTGCAACATCCAGGGCGAGGAAGGGCAGAGCGAGACCCGCCTCCCCGGCTGGGATCAACACGCCTTGATTGGGGATCTTCCCACTCGCCTGCGCGCCTCCTGGCTTCCTGTCTCTCTTGCAATTGCTTCCTTTGCTTTGCAAAAGGATCGGCGAGCGCCGCGTCTCTCTCTCGCGCGCGTGTCTCTGGTACGAGCGTGTCTGTATTTTTCTGTCTCTCTTTCTCAACCCCCCCCCCCACGCTCAGTTCCCTTTTTCGTCCGCTCCCTCCTTTGCCTCTGGAAACCAGCCAGGGGCCTTTGCTTGCATTGCGTATTGGTTCGGGGAGGCGTCTTTCTTCCCGCTCGGCCGGTGGCTTAAAAAGGTGATTGGAGAATTTCTTTAGCTTCGCGGGGGCGGGAGTCGCCGAGGGCACGGTTGTGCGGTCTGCACGAACGCGGGAAGCTTGAGCTGCCGATGCAATAAAGGGAAGGGAGAGGAGAACCTAACTCCGTTGAGCAAATTTTCTTGGGGGAAGAAAAAGGGGCAAACTTGAAAAAGGTGCATTAAGGGGGGGGGGGGAATTTGTTTATAACTTTACGAAGAAGAACTCAAGAGCAAATCCAACAAGAAAACTTTACAAAATGCATATTCTAATAAAAATGTCTGAACTGGGAGCCAACTTGGTTTAGAGGTTGTCAATTCTGGGAGTTGAAGTCCACAAGTTTTAAAGCTGTCAAGTTTGAAGACCTCTGCTCCAAAATAAAGGCCAAAGTGAGTTTTCTGAAATAAAGGACTACCTATAAAATCAACTTAACTACTTGCTTAGTGACCGTTCTAGGTTTTAGTGGCACTGAAAAAAGTGACTTTGGACCATTTTTTGCACTTTTCACACAATCACTGCAGCATCCCCATGGTCACATGAGCAAAATTCAGATGCTTGGCAAATGATTCAGATTTATGATGGTTGCAATGTCCTAGAGGTCATATGATCACCTTTTGTGATCTGACAAGCAGAGTCAATGGGGAGGCGAAATTCACTTAACCATATTACTAACTTAACAATTGCAGCAAGAAAGGTTTAAAATGGTACAAAATTCATTTAACAACTGTCTTAACAACAGAAATTTTGGATTCAATTGTGATCATAAGTCAAGGACAACCTGTATGATAAAGGACATATAGTAATCCATAAAATAGCTGAGTTTAGGATTGGAGCAGGGACTGGAAGCTCCAATGTTCTCTTACAGGAATTGGGGAGGTACTTTTACTCCAATCTGTTGCATTTTGTGTGGGTTAGGTTTTTGGAGGGCGACAAGTAGGTAAAGCTCTTCCTGTGATGAAAAAGGACAGGATACCCTTGTATATTTAGTATAGTCTGCTAAAGTCCCAGCTAAGATGGAGTTCATGCAGGAATTAATTCAAGGGTGGGATGCTACCGGTTCTGCCTGGCTCCATAGAGGTGGTAGCTCTGAAGAGCAACAGACACCGAACCAGTTCTGTGTTTGCTGCTGTTTGGTCTACCCGCCCACCCGGGCTCTTATCTGTCGTTTATTTCCTGCTTTTTCAACCTCAGCTGCTTTGCGCGGCACAGCTGAGGTTGAAAAGCAGGAAAAAAGTGGCTTTTCAAATGCTACGCAGCTGTGCGCAGTGCTTTTCAGTTGTCCGGGTAGCACAGCTTAAGTTTTTTTACACACGCGCGCAAAACACAGTCACCGAACTGGTAGTAACACCATTGAATCCCACCCCTGGATTAATTGAGTTGTTTTGGAAAATGACTATCAAGCAATCTAGGCATAATCTCACAAACAGGTAATCAGAAACCACCATCCCCCCCCCCCCGACATTCAGTGGGTCCTACTTTCAGGTAAATATGCAATTTGGGACAATTTAGCTGCAGACACTTCTCCTTTTCTCCTACTTTCCTTCCTCCTGCTTCATCTGTTTAGAAGTTAGCATGCAACAAAGCCATCTGCTTCAGACCCTGTTCATAAGATTGTTACCTGTGGTTTGCTCTTAGCTCTTAGTGGAATGTGTGAATCTCTTGAAATATTTACTGCCTATTTCTCAGGAAAAAATAAACGTTTGACAAGGGAACTCTGCGAATAATCGACTCTAATTTACTTAGCTAAGCCTAACCCAGATCTGAAGGGCTCCTTCAAAAACAATCTCCAGATGTGGAGTGCCACCGGTAGCCTGGTTAATGAGCTTTTCTAGTGGAAACGAAAATGAGGGGCTTGTTTGTGTTAAAAATCACTATCTGGTTATAAGCTTACTAGGAAATCCCCAGGAGTTGCTGAGCCTTCCACCTCCCATATAAAAAAATACCCAAATAGCTTGTTACTTCGATCCTCTTCTGATGTTGCAGGCTCAGGCATGATCCGAATCTACCTCTTGGAGGGAAAGGCATTTGTGTGGAACTATGCAGATGCGAGGCGAATCCGAGAGGAACATCGCATTGTCGGCGTGCTGGTGGGGGCATTGCCTCGGAAGCCGAGGCAGAATGTGCGGCTTGGGCTGCCTTTGGAGCTGCTTCCTGAAGAGGTTCGGCTGTTATTGGACAAGGGGTTGGCAACCCTGGTTAGGAGCCCAACATCTCAGTCCCTTGGCCATGGGAAGAACCAGGTAATGATTTCACCAACCTTTATTTTTTTTTAATTTAAAAGTGAACGATAAGCTCCCTTGTTCCCAAACTCTGCAGAGTGTAGAGATCAATAGTCTACAATGTTTTTGAGACATTCCTCTACAGGTGGGCTTTGACTTACAACTACAATTGAGACCAAAATATCCATTGCTAAGCAAGGCAGTTGTTAGTTGCACCCAATTTTATGATCTTTTTTTGCCATAGTTGTTAAATAAATCACTGCAGTTATTAAGTGAATCATACAGTCAGTAAGTAAGTCTGGCGTCTCCTGTTGACTTTTGCTTCTTGGAAGCTGACCAAGAAGGTCACAAATGGTAATCACATAACGCCAGGATGTCACAACTGTCGTAAATACATGCCAGTTGCCAAGCGCTCAAATTTTAATCAAATGACCATGGGACTCTCTGACAGTCACAAGTCTGAGTTATGTCACTTTTTTCAGTGCCGTTGTAATTTCAAATGCTCACTAAACAAATGTTGTAAATCAATGTCTACTTGTAATTTCTTCCAGCAATGAAATTATGATGTAGTATTCTTTTTTTTTTTCAACAGCCATTTATCCTTTTTCTTCCCCTTCCTCCCCAGCTGTGCAGTAAGGTAAAATAAGCTCAGACATCATTGTAACATCACAATTGTAACATCCAAGAAGTTGGCATCAGTTTTATGTTTTATAGTTTCGCTTCCTGAGCTATATGTGCAGCAGAATTAAGTGCTAATGGGTGCGTATAATTTCTGTCTGCCAATAGGAGCTATCCCAAATGTTGTGTTGGGGGGGAGGGGGGGAGAAGGTAGTAAAAATTCCAAAGCAATTTCAATGCATCATTTTGTTTTTATATTACTTTTCAGTTGGCAGTGAATATTTCCATGTATGATCCAGAAGGTGTATATATGTATAAAGGGATACCTCATTTTTCTGCAAATGAGAGCTCTGCCTTGGGTTATTCTGGAGCTCAGAAAAAGGAATGAGGTTTATCAATCATGTCCCCTTCCAGTATCCCTAACCGGCATGGCCAACCTGACTGGAAGGTTGCTTATGTATGCTTGCTGCTTTGTGTCTGCAGGATGCCTTAGCCCCAGAGAAAGTGGTTGCCTACGAGCAAGAGCTAGAGGAGAGCTACCAGGAGCAGCTGAGGCTCTCTGCAGAACAGAAGAAAACCACGTTGGAGTCTCTTGCAGACCATATAACCCAGGGCCGAGCAAAGAAATGGCAACGGAAAGGAGAAGGAGGAGGTGTGTATCACAGCAGTAGATCCAAAATTAAATGTAGATGTTGATTTTACTACTAATAATACCATAGAACCTCCTGCTCTACAATTCTGCCCACGCTTTCTCCTATTTGAGGCCACCATTGCTAGCCTTCAACTTACAGTGATAGACCGCTGGGCATACAAAGTGGAATTTTATTTATGACAAAAGTGACAAATTGTTATTTTGCAATATTTGATTGAAAAAAAAAGTTACACCGTGTAGATAATCCACTAGTTACAACCATAATGGAAACTGTCCATCACAGTCGTAACTTTGTAATTTTTGTGTGATGGTCATTCAGCAAACAGCTGTGATCATTAAACTAATGCCAGGGTCATTTAGCAATGATGTGCTGTGGACCCAATTTTGCTGAACATAGGAAGTAAATGTCACTTATTGGCATAACTGTTGTAAAATGAAGTCACATGATCTTGGGACACTGCAAATGTTGCCCAGATGCTGAGCAATCAAAATGTGTTCATGTGACAGGGGGCGTCCATTGGAACTTTGAATCCAGGTTGTAAATATCTCCCTAGAAAGGTCTGTCAGCACTCTGAACGATTGCTATTGGTCGAAAGTTGAGAACTACCTGTATGCAGAGAAAAATGTAATTATAGAAATTTGAGGGACTTTGGTTCAGCTATATCCTGAGGGAAACATGTGGGATTTTTTTTAGCTATTATGTCTGGGTGGGAATCTGTTCATTTATAAAGACATTCAGACGAAAAATTAGATCATTTCTTCTTCCTTTCCTAGAGCCCCTCAAAAGGCCTGCCGAGTCTGGTTCCTGTTTTGTGCTTCCCCGAGAATCAATGATGATCCAACTCCCCACTGAACGGACTCAGATAGCTCAAGAAGAAACAGTAGACTGGCATGTAGCATCCCAGCTCTGGCCTTATGCAGGTCAAGAACATCATGAGATGCACTATAGCATTTTCCGGGACCTCTGGGAAAGAGGTTATTATGTCACAACTGGGAGCAAATTTGGAGGTGACTTCCTCGTTTATCCAGGTGAAAGCAGATTTCTCAGAGATTTTACAAGAATGCTTGTGTGTGGGAACAATATTGATTCTCTTGAGGTGAAGAATGATGGCTTAAACTTTCTATCTGTGAGGAAGGCAAGGCAAATATACAGGTGTCCCTTCACTGTTCTCTCTGGCCCAGGTGTGAAGCCACGATACCTTGGATTTATCCAATCTTTTAAGCTATAAATCATGGCTTGTAGCATACAGGGAATTGTAAAACAGAACATGCTAAGCTAGAAGCACATGATGGCTTATTACAATGTCATTCTATATGTGAGTTGAACAGAAGTAGAAAGGATATTGGAGTGCGAATGGGGACTTCACAAAGATGGAGTGAAGTAGGCCTCCTCAAAGACTGTTACAATCCATTTTCTGAATATGGTATTCTCCAGATGTCTGAGACTTTATAATCTAGCAGACAAGGCTGTCAAATAAAGCCATTCATAATAGGTGATTCCCCAAAGCTCATGTATTAAAGAATATCTGGCTCCTTTTTTCATTAATTTCTGGATATTAAAAGTTGCCTATTTAAATGTACCTACCCAGGGCCTTTTTAAGAATGAGTTTGTGCATGTAGACTATGAAGAGATCCTCAGCAAACTGTTCCAGCAATTTTCTGGCAGGACAAATAGCTATTAAGAACATTTTTTGCTTTTCTATTGAAAAGTACATAAAGTAGGTTTTCCTTCATACTACTTAACGAGCCAGTGTTGAGGACATCATGCCGAGACCAGCCTTATTGCTTTGCTAACTCTTCCCTCTCCCCTTGATAGGTGATCCCATGCGGTTCCACGCCCATTACATCGCGCTCTGTTTTTCCAAGGATGCACCCATCTCTCTGTGTGACATCATCAGTGCTGGACGCCTTGGCACCAACGTCAAGAAGACAGTCTTGCTCTGTTCAGTGGAGCAGGAAGGGACTGTAGCATATACATCCCTACAGTGGAGTGGGATGCAGTGAAAACAGAGTGGCTCAGATCCTAGGATTGCCATTTGGAAGTGTTAGCATATGCTTGCCTATTTGTCTTCCAGAGCAGGGGTCCCCAACCCCACCCCCTGGACCGCGTCTCACTACTGGGTTGAGATTTTCAGAACCCGGCCGCAGAAGCGATGTGTGTGCAGAGCCACTTAGGCGAGTGAGTTCGTGCATGCTCCATTTGCGTGAGCATGGTGGGTGCACATGCCCACCATTCATGCAAATGGAACTATCCACGCATGCGCCGGCTGCTCATGTGGAACCATCCCCTCTCCCCACCCACTGGTTCTGCAAAGCCAGAAAAATTTGGGAGCTCTGTTCCAGAGTTCTCAGATATCTTGCGTAAAAGTACCGGGAATGCTGGGAGTTGTAGTCTGGATTGAGGAAGTTTGTTACGTTGACATTAGTCTGAATTATGATGGCAATTGGGATTGGAATTTTGGTTGCTAAGCAATACTGTTGAAAAGTGTAATCTCATGATTGCAGTCATAATCTATCAGTCCAGTGGTAAATTGGTAAAGTGGCAAATGCCGATTGACTGTAGGATGCTGCAGCCATCAGTTTTGCAAGGCGTTTACCAAGTGTGTAATCTTGGTCACATGACCTCAGTCACTGCAACAGCCTCAACCTGGGCCAATTGTAGGTGTCCCTTGTTTGCCACCATTGTAACTCTGATCACTGAATAAGTGCTCTTAACTTAAGGACCTATAATTACAATTCATACATAGCAATTATAAAAGTGTTCTTAGCCATATGCTTAATATGTTGCATGTATGCATGGTTATTAAAGAATGGGATGTTCTAAAAAAGTTGCTGAAGTAAGTTCCTAACAGATAAAAGATTGCTGTCAGTTAATATCAGAAAAGTCTCAGGTTGAACATGTTTCCTCTATATAAGGAATGCAGATTTTTTTCAACAGGGGTAGGTAGCTTCGTGTCCTCCTAGTAGCTTGGATTACACCTCCTGCAATCTCTTGACCCATGCCACTTGGTATTGAACTCCCCAAAAGCTGTACATCTGTACTGGGGGCGGGGGAAGCAGTTATTACTAGTTGACCACCTATGGTTTTATTTGACCCCTTTCATGACCTCTGCTGGTTGGGGACGAGGAGAGCTATTGCTCAACACATTCCCAGGGCAGTAGCTGGAAAGGCTGGTATCTTGATAAATCATATTTTCAGCGCCAGATATTGGTTTCTTGGAGAGGTTTTTCCGTGGACTAGAGGGGGCGTGGTTTCATGTGCTGTCTACATTTCATGATGGGGCTTCGCCTGTTTACGCAGCCTGGTTTCTGGCCTGCTGTGGACTGGTGCTGGCCCATAGACTGTGGGTTGGGGACTCCTGGGTTAGATAGCACTGCTGCAGCAACATAAAAGACCTTTGGTCTTTTTTTCAGGTGTATCTTTGTATTTCAAACAGAGAAACATGAGAAAAAATATCATGCTGCAAGTAGCACAAGCTGGAATCTAATGACTAAATGAAGGATGGGGAAATAACACAAAAGCCAGTGTTTACACTCTATACCAGTGTTTCTCAAATGGGAATACTGGGAGCTGAAGTTGCCCAGGTTGAAAAACGTTGCTCTATGCCTGTGATGGCGAACCTATGGCACGCATACTGAAAGTGGCACACAAAGCCACCTCTGCCGGCATGCGAGCTGTTGCCCCAGATCAGGTCCACTGCGCATGCGAGCGTGTCCCCCACCAGCTGATCGTCGGGAATCTGCCGTGCACACAGGGAGGGTGCATGTGCATGCGTAGGAGGGGCGGGTGTCATGCGCACATTGCATTATGGGTTTGGCACCTGACGACGAAAAGGTTAGCCATCACTGCTCTATGCAATTAATCCTCAACTTGAAACCATTCACTGAAGTTACAGTGGCACTGAGGAAAGTGACTTATGACCAATCCTTGCACTTATGAACCATCACAGCACCTCCATGGTCACATAATCAAAATTTGGGCACTTGGCAATTAGCATTTATTTACAACAGTTCCAGGGTCACCTGATCACCATTTGTGACCTCCCCAGCTGGTTTCTGACAAAGAAAGTCAATGGTGGAAACTGGAATCTCTTAGTGACTGCAGTGATTCACTCAACACTGAGGAAAAAAGGTTAAATTCAGGCATGACTCACTTAACAGCAACCTTAGAAATTAAAATTCTCCCCCCAAATGTCGTAAGTCAAGGACTACCAAATAAAAGTATTTTGGCAGGAAGCCTGTTTCCCTTTTCTGGAGACGTATTTCTTTTTCAAACCAGGTCTTCCATGTGCAATCTTAGCATTTATGAACATCTAACAAAGCATGAATGTTTCAATGCACCCATCCCAGGTTTTTCTTAAAACTCAGTCTCAGAGTGCTTAATCACAGAATTTTATTTCTAAAATAATTTATATTTAAACACATTTTTGCATCTATTTCAAAATAGTTTCCTTCCCAATGTACATTATGGCTATAATAGATATATGGAAGCCAACATATTTGCTGGGACAGTTCTATAGACATAAAAAACCTGTTTTGAATTTTCTTTTTTTATAGCAGAATGATAACTTCTGTATGCATGATATATTGCACATGTAAAAAGGTGGGCACCATCTTGACTCCTTTGACCACCCCTGCAAGTGCCGCCTGAATTTAGAGGGCAGCCATTTTGAAAGTTTCCCTCAGACGCTGATGGTTCGAAAGATGTTGAACCCAGAGAGGGCGGTGGTGATGAGGGTGCCAGGGCATTGTGGGTGCCAGTGCAGCTCCTTGATATCGTTCTCTCCCTGGTGAACGAAGAGCAGCTGGGGTGGGATGGTAGCCAAGGCTGGGTCCTCAGCCTCTCCTTCGTCACGTTCCACAGCTAAGTCCCACTGAGTCACTTGGTCATCGGCCCCAGAGGCAGCAAAGACACCGCTATCAGTGGGGTGCCATTCCACTGATGTGATGGGTGCAGTGTGTTGCTTGAAGGTGGCAACCGCTGAACCTTTCTGTGGGAAGAAAATGACCATTATTATAAGCCAAGATAAGGAAAAATGGAGACGGGTGCCCATGTTCGCTGAAGTAGAATTCATTAAATAACCCAGTTACTCTGGGATTACACAACACAGAAGCCAAATGTTACAATTTATTAAATTTAATTGCCACCAATCTCATCATGGGGCTATTCTAGGATCTTGTAACAATAAAAAAATGTAATCAAAACAGGTAAAATAATAGAACAATAAAATAATGAACGTACAGGAATACTATGATAACAAAAGAAGGGCAAGTGGGATAGCAGAGAGGGAGGGAATCCGTGCCTTCTATTGGCTTGAGGGCCATACCAGGTTTTGTGGGACATGTTGAAAATCATGCTTCCAGTTGGTGAGATAAGGCTCACTTTGGAAGTTTTAAGGTACAAAATGGATACAGTGGCAACTGCAAGTCTCCATATTCAATAGAAGTCAGATTGGAGGGAGGGAGGGAGGGAGTGTAGGGGATGTTGCAATCACAAAACGAATGTGTGGCCCCAAGGCTGAGCCAATGTTTCTCAACCTTGATGGTTTTGATATGCATGGACTTCAGCTCACAGAATTCCAGCAATGCTGGCCGGAGAATCCTGGGAGTTGAAGTCCACACATCTTAAAGCCACCGAGGTCGCATCACTTTTATAGTCGTGTTCCCATTAGACCCAAACCAACCAGATGCCTCAGGTTAAGTTGTGATTATTCCATACTTCATCTGGCAGCAGGAATCCATTGGCTCACCTGGAACTGCCTCAGATCCCAAATCCTTAGGATCCCATCATCACCACCACTAACAATAAAGGGCTCATTTCGGTTCCAACTGATCACATTGACATCTGCATCGTGCGCTTTGCTGGTGGTCAGCATGCAGGCTTTTCCTGGTGCAGCCCGTGTGTCCCAGACGCGAATGGAGGCATCAGCCGAACATGAAGCAAAAACCTAACCCAGAGATACAAAAAATGCATTTCCTTTTCAACAAGGGGAGCTAAGCTCTCTTATGTCCACAACAGGCTTTCTTGCTGTACATTCTTAAAGGAAGAAAAGAACTAATTTATTTTGCATGTAAATGTCTTTAATAAAGGTGCAGACCCCAGAATCAAAGTTCCCTGAAATTTCCATGGTTTATAGTTCCAAAGAATTAGTATATTGGTTTTATGCATATATAGGATACAGTATTTTTTGTCTGTATCTACTGTACTTTCTTGCTAATGAAAATTATTCAGAACTGAGAAGGAAGCAGTTAGGCATTCTTACTCAGAAATGTGTCCTAATGTGTTCAGTTATATTTATTCCCAAATAAAAATCAATAGGTCCAAACGTTTAGACAACGCTGGCTGGAAATATTGGAATTTGAGGTCCATAAATCTTAAAAATGTCCAAGATGAAGAAACAATGGCTTATCCAATCAGTTAAAAGGTTTTTTTTTTTATTATTATTAAGATGTCTCTTAAAGTAAATAAAACTTTATTGAAATATCCTCTTCCCTATATGCAAGATGACCCGCAAACTTGCACAAACTTATCGATAACTTACTGTAGCTTCATTTGGGGACCACTGTATGTCTTCCACTGATGCTGTGTGGGCTGTGAAAGGCCGCTGATCTACAAACCACGATCCATCCTCCTTGGGTGTCCATAGATGGATATTTTTATTGCAGTCCCCGGTCAAAAGAGTGCCTACCACAAGCAATATCCAAAATATCATGTATTAGACTTCATCCATTCTCACCTCCTACAACTATCTTTCCCTTCCCTTCTTCCATTACCTGGTTTCTTAGGGGACCAGTCCATGGCAAAGCCCTCTGACATATGTCCAGTAAATGAAAAGATGGGCTTGATCTTGGCCTGCTCTTCTCGCAAGAAGACTGCCAACGCTTGGGGGTCAGAAACAGCCACCAAGAGGCGCTGAAGATCATATATATCCACCTGCCCTTTCTCAGACCATGCTGCAACCACCTGAGTCTCTCCCAGCTCTGTCACCTATGGGGGAGGGGGGAAGGGGGAAATAGCAGGGGAAAGCATTAAGGGGGAAACAATGTTATCGAAGGAAGCAAAGATGGGAAAGACCAGCAAGAAACATTCCATACTCGCAGTCTGTTAATCCCTCCATAGTGGGGAACCATGGCCAGTTCTAGCTGGGGTTTCTTGTCCTCATCATCATCTTCACTCTCGCTGCTACTCTCCGACTCAGAAGAATTTTTGCAAGCTGACTTGGTCCCATGGAGATTGTGCATTTTCATCACTAGCAACCTGTGGGTTTATTAGGGTGGGATTGGAGGCGGGGAGGGAGGAAATAAATGTTATAAAAATGGATTGATAAGATTGTTACCTTTCCCCAACCTGGAACCACCTGTGCTGGATTTCAGACCCCATCCTACAATGGGCCATGCGGTTTGAGTAGTAGGATGGGGGTTGAAATCAAATACTTTTAGTAGGTATCAGGCTATGGAAGATTCCCTTCCTTGCTCATTCAGATGATTGTCAGTTTAGCCTACAATAAGGTAGTCCTCAACTTGGGACCATTATTGGGTCCTGAATTTCTGTGGCTAAGCAAGGCGGTTGTCAAATGAACCATGCCCAATTTTACAATCTTTTGCCGTGGTTGTTAAAGAGAATGGCTGCAAGTTAAGTGAATCACACAGTTGTTAAGTGAATTCCACTTCCCCATTGACTTTGCTGGGGGTGATCACCTGACCAGAGGCCTCTGCAAACATCATAAATACAGGCCAGTTACCAAGTGCCCAAATTTTGATCATGTGGCTATGGAGAACCTGTGATAGTCATAACCGTGAGAATTGGTCATAAGTCACTTTTTTCAGTTCCACTGTCACTTTGAACAGTTGCAAAACGAATGGTTTATAAGCCAAGGATTACTTGCACTGACCCATCCCAAGCACTCACCTGTTCGCTTGGGCAGTTTCGGCTTGTGTTCCCGCACAAAGGAAAAGGCTCAGTGGGTAGCTAGTTCGGTTGTCTCCAAGTGCATCACGCAAGATGTCAAAGCTTAAGCAAGGAGCCCCTAAATTGGTAGCAATAGAAGGACCTCATTTATCTGGGCCATTTATCTAGATCGGGGTCTCCAACCTTAGCAACTTTAAGCCTGGAGGGCTTCAACTCTC